TTGACAAATTGTTTGTGATTATTTTCAGGCATACGTGATGAGAATGATCGTGAATATACTCCTAAAATTGTTAGAATTGGTCTCAAGGCACATCATTCTGTCAAAGCAGTATCTATGGATTATCTTGTATGTAATTCATTATTATTTTTATTAAACCTCTAAAAGAAATAAAAATATAATAATGATTTTAAATATTAATATGGGAGGTTTGATTTTTTTGCTTTTTAGGTGGAACAAAAACTTGCAGGCATGGATTTTCAAACTGCTGATAAACAGAAGCAAGGTGGTGCTGGAAGGGACAGAGACACAATGCGTGCTTCCATCATGGATGAGTCAGCAATCGTATGTATTTTTATTTTCTATCCCAAATCAGCATATTATTATTTATTAATAATTTTTTTTTTGGTTTTGGTTTTCCAGGTTTTTTCCACTCTTAGTTTCAGTGGTTCGAGTCTTTTCACAAAACTTAGTCGCGCTTTTGACATTGTTGTTATAGATGAAGCTGCTCAAGCAGTAAGATTATTGCTCTATTGTTTGCTTTTTCATGATTAATATTACTACTACTATTAATAATAATAATACTAATATAATATTTGAGAATATATTATTATTATTTTTCTACAGGTGGAACCAGCTACACTAGTCCCTTTAGCCAGTGGATGCAAACAAGTATTTTTGGTATGTACATTGTGCAAACAAGACTTCTTAGCATTGTACTTTCAACTACTTTCTTATTAAATCAATGTTATAATAATAAACAACTAAATAAAACTACATTGCTATTTTTTTTCAATTAACCCTATTCAGATACTCTTCCGTTTTGCTAGGTTGGTGATCCTGTTCAGTTGCCTGCCACTGTTATTTCTCCTGTTGCAGAGAAGTTCGGGTAATCAAATCATTAAAAAAAAATATTTAATTGTGATAACTCTTAGTTAATTAATTACCTTATTTTGTACAACAGTTATAGCATGAGCTTATTTAAAAGGTTTCAAAAGGCTGGATATCCAGTACAAATGCTCAAGACACAATACAGAATGCATCCCGAGGTCTAATTCTAACAATTCTTACAAATTTGTTAAAACGAATCTTTTTACTCAATATCACTGAAGTTAATTTTATGTCACACAGATAAGAAGCTTCCCTTCTAGTGAATTCTATGATGGAGAATTGGAAGATGGGGTGGATGTTAAAGACAGGACAAAGCGTGCATGGCATAAATACCGATGCTTTGGGCCGTTTTGTTTTTTTGATATTCATGAAGGAAAAGAAACACAGCCTTCAGGGAGTGGATCATGGGAGAATGTTGATGAGGTGGATTTTGTGTTGTTGATGTACCATAAATTGATCACTAGTTATCCAGAGCTGAAGTCAAGTGATCGGCTTGCTATTATATCGCCTTACAGACATCAAGTCAAGCTGTTTCGTAATAAATATAAGGAAACATTTGGTGTGGATTCGGAGAAATTTGTGGATATTAATACTGTTGATGGCTTCCAGGGAAGAGAAAAAGATGTTGCCATATTTTCATGTGTTAGGGCCAATAAAGAGAGAGGGATTGGATTTGTCGCTGATTTTAGAAGAATGAATGTTGGTATTACCAGAGCAAGGGCTTCTGTTCTGGTATGCTTTTGTTACTTGGGCTTGGGCCCCATTTTCGTTTATTACATATGACAGGTTGTACTGTGTTTGACATGCATCGGATTGGGACTCACACAGATGCCAACAGGTGACAAAAATTGTAACTTTTTGCCCCACTCAACAAGGTGGGATATGGACTCGCACTCGGTCTCACGTATGTGCAAAAGACATAAATGCCCTTCTCATCCTTGTCATCAATAATAGACCTAGAAAATTTTCCTTTTTTCATCCGGTGTTGTGTCACAAATGCAGCCTTACGGCTGCATTTGTTACATTGGACAGGACTAAAAAAGTTTATTTTTTCTAGGTCTATTTTTTTGATGACGAGGATTGAAGGGCATTTACGTCTTTTGCACACACGTGAGACCGAGTGCGAATCCATGTCCCACCTTGTTTCGCTTTTTGAGTGGGACAAAAAGTTACAATTTCAGTCACCTGTTGACATCTGTGTCAGTTTTTGTCCAATGCATGTCTAATACAGCACAACCTGTGTTGTCCTGTGGAAAAAAAAACGAAAAGAGGCCTAGGGTTTCTACAGTCCAACTTTGTTAATTGTAGCTCTGGTTTTTATTTTGTTTTTTTAACTGACTGATGTTTTGGTTATGTTAGGTGGTCGGGTCGGCCGAAGCACTAAAACAAGACAAGCACTGGAAAAATCTGATTGCAAGTGCAGAGGAGAGAAATTGTCTCTTTAAGGTTGGTTTTTGACTTTTTTCTTATTGCTATTATTTTTTTTCCAGATTTCCAAGAAATGAAGATTTTCTCATTAAATTGTTTTGTGTTTAGGTTTCTAAGCCATACACAGAGTTCTTGACTGAAGCTAGCTTGGAATCCATGTTAAAAGTGGAGGCTGTAGCAGAGGGAACAGGGTTAGATGACATGGAAAATGATGCACTATATGATCCAATTGAACCTGATCAAGGTTTACTAGATGATGATTATGGGGATGATGCTGGTGGAGGGGATGATGATGGTGGTGGCATGGATGACTAACAACTAAAATGATATTATATTTAATTGTGATTTTTTTTGGGTGCATGAATCGATTATCATATCACCCCATTATATGCTATTTTATCCCAAGTTACATAAATAGTGTTAGATAAGATATTTACGAGTCTTGGTATTGAATCTGGAAAAGGAAAAAAGCGAGACTGAAATTATATAATAGAGAAAATAGGCCCACTGTAAATTCCAAGTTACAGAAATGCTTCCAGAAATTTGCTTCGTTTTTGTTTTTAACCACGAATAACACTAGCACGTCAAAAATAGAAATCGACCCTTTAGAACTAAAGTGTTATAGTTTGCGTTAGTTGAGGACAAATGTTTAGTTGAAATTATACGATTGGTCATTTATGGTTTGCCAAAACATGCATGGTGAGGACAAATGTTTGAAAAATCTCATGATAATAATATCTTGTTAACTAGCAAGCTTTTTAAAAAAACTCATCTATTGAGTACTTTTTTGTCATGAAATAACTACTAAAAAAAACTCTTAAAAATCATGGAGAAACTTGAACAAATTCGGCGAAGATTCCTATGGGGCAGGGATGAAAGTAACAAGAAGATCCATTGGGTTGCATGGGACAAAGTCGTTGCTCCCAAAACTGAAGGTGGACTAGGAGTGGGATTTATTTGTACGTTGAATATAAGCCTACTAGTCAAATGGTGGTGGCGTCTAAAATATGAAAAAAGACTCGCTTTGGGTGAAAGTCATAAAAGGAATTCATAACCTAAGCAATAAACCTCATGATTACCTGTCAAGCAAGAAAATAGGGGTGTATGGAACAATATTGCAGAATGCAGGAAAGAACTCATGAAATTTGGACTTGGAATTGATGATGTGTTCAAACTACATGTAAAATCAGGTAAGAATACTTTATTCTCACACGATAAATGGCTAGGACCAACTACATTTAGAGAAAAATATCCATCTCTCCTTGATCTTGAATCCAGGAAGAAATGCACAATTTGACGGGCATTGGAAATCGCAAGTGGAAGACGAAGGAGATGTCAACAATGTAAATAACCTAATAAGAGATCTATCGGATGTGCGGTTGGGTAAAGGTGAAGATCAATGGAAATATATTGTCGATATTACCAGCCTCTTCATGGTAGGCACACTAAAAAAGGAACTCGATCAACTCTTATACCCAAATCGTGTACTTCCATGGTTTAGATGGAATAAAGTGTCCCCGATCAAAGTAAATTGTTTTATTTCGAGAGCAATACAGAAGAAGATCCTATCCGTGGTGGCTTTGAGAAACATGGGCGTTGATATTGAACATGATAATTGTGGGGCTTGTATTAACGACATTGAATGTTCAGATCATATTCTCATATTGTGCCCTTTCGCCTGCGAGGTCAGGAAACAAGTTTTCAAATGGTGTGACATACAATAGGAGAACTTTGTATCTGTAACTGATTTACTTAGTTTCGTAGCAAATTGTGGCAGATGTCCTAAGAAATGGAAGAGATTCATCTCCATTTGTCATGGCCTAATTTGGAATTTATGGAAAAATTGGAACGACCGGGTGTTCAATAGGGTATTCGTAAATCCAACATTGAGTTTAGGGACGTCTTTGGTGTTCTTTTGGTTGAAGTGCAAGGTAAGGGTGGAATTTGCGGCTGGAATGATTGGGTTTCTTCTCCTTTTAAGTTTAATTCCCCTGTATCTCAAATCATGTAATTGTTTTACTTTCTTGTTATTCTTGTTTTGTACTTTTGGGCCCTCGCTAGTTACTTGCTAGTTCGGGGTTTTTTTTTTTAAATATAAATTGCCGTTTCCCAAAAAAAAAAAAAATCTATTGTCGATGCTTTAATGTTGGAGCTCATTTATGAAAACATTGTCTTTACTTTGTGGATGTGTGACTATCTACCCTTCTACCTCTTTGTTACCCTATTCTTATTGTACTTGAGTTTTGTTGATAAATTTGTTATTTTTCATCATCTAAAAATTTATAAACCAGAGATTTGTCAAACATACAATCAGTTTTTATTGAACTCCAACTAAAACAGAAAACATATGCTCATATAAGACTTTCTTCCAAACAAATATGTTTCATTTAGACAAATACTTATCGAAAAAAATAGAACAAGTCCCTAGTGACTAGTCTTGTACCAAAATAATTCTTATTTAAAATGCTTTTAGTAATTTCATGTCGTTTGTTAGTGCAGTTTCCACCAATTAATCACAGAAAAATCAAACACGAGGTCTACTGGAAATATAGCAATTTCATCAGAACAAAAAAATATTTTTATTGAAGAATGATTTTCAGTAGGATTCAGAAGAAGCATATCCTAATTCAAAGAAAATATGAAGCATACACTAATAGCAGTAAAAATTACCAGATGTTTTAGCCTTATTTCTGTGCACAAATCATGTCAGATGCGATATAGAGTTTTCGCGCATGGATTGCAGCATTCTTCGGATCAACACCGTTATCAGCCAGCCAACAGTCGACGGTCTCATCATCCGCCGGAGTAAATTTCTGTAGACGGTTACTGGTCTGTTCGGTAGCCGGTGAAAGGTCGTCGTCAGCGACAGCAGAAGTCAACTCTAATAGCTTTGCTCTTGACACGTGTTCCTCAAGATACGTGGAATCACTCGGCGACTGATTAGGGCTAGCAATTCCGTCGGTCGTTGGGGATAAATCGGAAGAAGAATCGGAAGGAGGAGACTGCACGTCCTCCGGAAACTGAAACGTGAGATTTCCGATTGGATTATAATCAAGGGGAGGAGGAAGGTCCTGTGTGGAGGAGCTAGGAGGTGACAATTCAGCGTCCGGCGATTGCAAACTCATGTTACCGGAGAGATCCGACAACGATGCGGCTGTCACATTCGGAAGCGAACTTCGCGTATGAGGTCTGAACTCGAGAATGCCATCTAATCCATGTACAGCAATGTCTCTACCGTAGAACATACCAGGAACAACGATATCAACACCTCCGACTGTAATCAACGATCTCGGATCCCGGCGCTGCTCGACGAGGATATTCTGACCAGGCATGAGCGTAGGAATGTAATTCTCACCAGGCGGAAGGCTTAACAGATCGGAGATCGACATACGGCGGGGGACAACGTGGTATCGGAGGGCCTCAACGTAATTTGACGCCGCCATGGTCATGTCAATAGCAAACAGAGCGGAATTGATCGGCGCAAATAAGGTAAAGTTGCCGTTGGATTTGATATCGTAGTGGATGTCGGAAGTGGCGATGGCGTTGGCGAAGAGATGGTAGCCTCTGCCTCTCAATACACCAAACACGACGTTAAGTTCGCCTTCACGGACGGCGCTAACGATGGCGATGTTGATGATGGCTATTGGTATGATAAGGAGAGGGATGATCAAGAAGGTTGAGATGCCGGAAGTAGATGATGCCATTGTTGCCGGAGGAGAAAGAGAACACTGTTCGCGAGATGATTGATTTTGGCGGGATATTCCTTTTCTGTTGCAACTGAACTTACTGAAGTCCAAAAGTCGGTGTGAATGACATGTTATTTACAATACCTGTCATTGGTTGTACCTGGTTTCTAAAACCTAATAAAATCATACACTACATCATAATCTAGAGAAATGAATATAAAAAAAAGTTTGCCAATAAATTTAATTTATTATGTAAAAACGTAATGAATACAAGATTTATGTGTTTTGACATGTTATTACAAGTTTATAAGTTATTAAACAGAATCCTGTGTTTCTGAAAAACCGGATAAGATTTTGGGTGAGTATCATGAAGTAGAAGCTAGATAATCTCTCGAGTGTAAATGCAAAATGAACATAACACCAGAGATGTCATCGAAATGAATTTCAATCAACAACAAACCCAGATATCCTCAATGGAGCAAAGTGGATGGTTGTATACGGTCTGATTTTAGGCAATTTTTTTTATTATGTGATATATGTATTATATATTTATTTAAAAATAAAAAGCTTATAATAATGATAAAGATATTTTTTTTTGGATTGTCCAGGAAGTTTGAGGATATTTAAATCCATACGACCGGCCCTACGAAATATCCTCAAATTTAACATCCCAATCAAATTTAAATTAAATTTAATGATATTTGTCACCATCTAAAATAAAAAGTATGATGATATTTAATTTCTTTTTTTCCCAAAAATTTGAAAGTTAGAAAATATCATTATAGACTTTGGTCATAAAACATAAACAAGTTTAAGTTCACTTTAGGTACACGAGCGTTTAATCATGATATCTTCACGAAAATTTAAATAAACCATACATATCATGACATTCTAAAGATCCAATAAGTTAACCAAATCTTAAACTTCATTTGCGAGTACATGTCAAAATAACACATTAGGCTTGAAAAGCTTAATGAGTAATACTAGTATCCAAATATGGTTTGAAATTGGGTAATAACGATATCCCAATTCCCAAGTCATGATTCCCCATCTGTAAAATCTTTTCATAAATATTTAAACCATCTCCCAAAGAAATTTGCAACAAGATATGAGTTTAAATGTAAATGAAATTATACTTAATGCTATACCCAACCTAAGTTCTTTACTCTTAATGAAGTCCCTCACGTTCTAGTCTTCATTGTCAATTAAGCTCATATCTAGCTTACAAAGAGGAAAACTTTTCCTATTGTGTAGATAAGCCGGTGTCTACCTTATAAAAGGGAATATGTTTTCTTTGTCTAGCTCATAATAATCCTACATTCTATCTTATGAGGGAAAATGTTTCATTTATCAAGTAAGCTTCATGGCCGTTCCAAACAAATTTTAGGCTTATAGCAAGAGAAAAAAATGGACCCTTAACATACACAAATGTCATCAAGTTTGTTATAATAACTTAATAATTAAAAGAAAATTATTTGTATTATCTTCTAAATATCATAATTTTCATAAAATATTTAAACCCCTTTAAAAGATGGTCCTAAACAGTCGTCCCTATCGCCAACCCTTTGGGACAGGCTTGGTAAACCTATACCTAACTTACAGTAAGTCTATATCTAGCTTATGAATAGGTGAAGTGTCTCTTTATCTAATAAACTCATGTCTAGCTTACAATAAGCATATATCTAGATTATAAAGATGAATTTGGTCCTTTGTCACACACTATCAAATCATATTTGGAATGCACATTAAGGATGCACAAACCAATTTCAAAATCAAGTTCAAAGAATTTTCCAAAGCAAGTTCAAAATTGAGCTAAACTGTAGTCAATGATAGATCGAACTCATGTTCCAAGGTTATGGCAAAAAATAATCCTTGTATACACTTTAGGGTAAATAACACAAAAGACACTCACTTTACGCCAAAATTCTAATTTGACATTGTTTTTTTTGTCTCAAATTTGATACTGTGTTTTTCAATTTACTACAATTCTGACCACTTGACCAATTAACCAGGTAACATGCTGACGTAACATGCTAGCATGATATGATGACGTGTCAAAATTGATTTTTTTTCCACAAAAAACACTAAGTTTTCATTTTTTTCGATTTTGACACTAAGTTTAATTTTTTCTTTCAATTTTGATACTGTTTTTTTTTTTTTGGTTCAAAATCGAACATCATTTATCAAATTTTATTCAATGTTGACAATTTTCTATTTGAAACCGTATAAATAACTTTTTTTATTACATTTTAAACCTATATATATATATATATATATATATATATATATATATATATATATATATATATATATATATATATATATATATATATATATATATATATAGAAGTAAGTTAATGCGAAAATATAAATATCCTGCGAAAACGCGAAAACAGCTTTTATCTTATGAAAATTAGATACATGTACTATAAAAAAATAATTTTATTAGCAATAAATTAAAGATAGTAAGTTTACATTAGATGGTGTTATGATAATATAGATTTAAAGACGGTTTTTATAATTATATTTTTTTCACGTCCTTAATCATTTTTAAATTCATGTTTTCATAATAAAAATGTTAAAAATCATACTTTGCTAATATGAAATAGTCTATCATCTATCATCGATTATCATCATGTATTTCAAAGTTTGGATGAATTATTTTCCAAAATATAATGTTGAGGTGACATAATATCATATGGTTTTCTTGTTTTCGCGTTTTCGCAAATTATTTGCATTTTCGCATGAACCCTCCCCTATATATATATATACATATATTTTCATTTAAACCGTATAAATATATATTTTTTTATTGAACAAAATTGGAAAAAATGATGTTCGATTTGGAACAAAAAAACATAATGTCAAAATTGAAAGAAAAAAAATAAAATTAGTGTCAAAATCGAAAAAAATAAAAACTTAGTATTTTTTGTGAGAAAAAAAATTCAATTTTGACATGTCAACATATCATGTCAGCATGCCACGTCATTAAAACTGGCACGTCATCATGTCACGTCAGCATGTAACCTGGTTAACCGATCAAGTGGTCAGAATTGTAACAAATTAGAAAATACAGTGTCAAATTTGAGACAAAAAAAATACAATGTCAAATTAGAATTTTGGTGTAAAGTAAGTGTCTTTTGTGCTATTTACCCATTTCTTTATTTTCATGTTCCAAGGTTTTGGCAAAAAATAATTATTTTATCGCAAGTCTTATTTTTAATATCTTGATGTATACACTTGGGTCTCCTTAAACTTCATCCTAATAGTTTATTTATTTCCACATTTTGATTTCTTTATAGCACAAAATACACATAACCTAGCATAATAACATGTTTCATGAGTTTAGGTGGTGGCGTGACAATGGTGGTGATTGGTGGAGATGTAACATCCCGATTCTCATGTAGTGTTAATATGAGTTTTTGGATTAGGCCCTACTCGACGAGTTGGTTGACCCACTCGTCGAGTAGCAGTGAGAAGGATCGCGGGTTAAGTGACCTACTCGATGAGTCCATATTGGGACTCGGCGAGTAGGAGCTGGCAAGTGAAACCCTAATTCCCTGGGTTTGCACCCCTATTTAAAGGGACCTTAGCCGCCCTTGGACCTCCTTACAGTTCCAAAGAATCCTTAAGAGCCTTATTTGTGTGTGTGCACCTTGTGTGTGTGTTTGAAGCTTGAAAGAGAGTTCTTGGAGGGAGAAGACTTGGAGGAGAAGGAGATTGAAGCAATTGGAGTGTGGGAATCAACACTCATCTCATATATCAACTTCAAAAGGTACCCAAACCGTCATTCTCCTTATAGATCTCCTTTATTGGGTGACTTTTAGGGTTTTCATGGAATATCAAGTTGGTATGATGAGCTATGGGCTAGATCTGAAGTTGTAACTTCAGATCTAGGCTCTCTTTGGATTCTAGAAGCATAAAGTTGCAGCTTTAGTCGTGATTGAGGTCCCCTTTGTGCATAAAGACCCATCAATAGCTTAGATTTGCCATTTTGAGCCTTTAAAGCCATGCATTCACGTAAAGTTTGCAACTTTACGTGATGAGCATGTTGGGTTATGAGCATTATAACATCCCTAAGTGTACATGCAACCCTAAATACCTTGGATCTATGTTTTCTCTATTATACATGCAAATATCAACTTTCCAAGGTATTGTTCTATTCTAGCATACTAAACTTTGAATAACACAAGTTAGAATAACATACCTTTTGTTAGTGCTTGTCTTCATGAAGCTTGAGTGCCTAGTGCCCCAAGTGTGACACCTCAAATGTTTTACACAACACCAAATACACTAGGAATAACTTGAGAGAATTCTACACTTCATGAAATCGGCTAGCCCTCTCTAGAATCATACTAGTGCCGATTTTGTCAAGAATAATATCTTTATATAGTGTTACAATTAGGGCAAACCCTAATTGTCATGACTTTCCATTTCCTTGGATCCATGGGTTCAAATACACCATGGAGCATCATATGGGTTTTGGCCCAACTAGATAATCCATGGAGCATTAGCCCACTATACAAGTATGGATGATTTACACAATCAACCCATATATTTAATTAGTCTTCTTTTGATCACTTAATTAATCCTAGATTAATTCTTGATCAATACTAATTAAATAATCTTATTATTCTTATTATTAATATACTAGAACTTATAATATATTAATAACCATAAGTGTCTTATTTCTCTCATTATAGTCTATCCAAGTGCATGATGCCATGCAACCCAAATGGACCATGCCGGGTCGGGTCAAGTCTTACCAATTATAGTTATGGACTTAGACATTAATCCAACAGTCTCCCACTTGGATAAGTCTAAAACTATTATTGCGTATGACTTCAGGAACCGACTGGCAATCGTAGCTCTCAAAAGCTTTGTCGAACTCTGACCTTGTCGATGAACTCTGACCTTTGTCAATGACTTGTCCATTAGATAAGGGATCATATATTCCTCCATTCTAGATATCATATGGACTGAGACATGGATTATAATCATTCTCTCTGTCCATTTGT